ACTAAATAAAAAAAGAAATAGAGTTTGATCATCTTGTTATGGTTTGGCTATGAGGTATCCCCCCAAAACCTTATGTTTGAGGTAATGAAGGAATATTCAGAGGTAAAATGATTAGATTATGAAAGCATACTCTTATCATTGGAATGGATTGCTGGATAGTAACTATAGATTAGGGCATGGCTGGAGGAAGTAGGTCACTGGGGTGACCACTGGGGGTGTGCCCTTAGGAATTACATGTCTTGTCCAGGACTCCTCTTCTCAGTCTCTCTGCTTCCTGGATGCCCTGACCTGAGCAGTTTTCCTCTGCTATTCCCTTCCACCATGATGTTCTGCTTCACTTTGGGCCCAGAGCAATGACGTCAGCTGACCTTGGATGGGACCTCTGAAGCCGTGAGCCCATATAAACTTTTCCTCTTCCAAATTGTTCTTGTCAGGTATTTGATCACAGCAATGTAAAACTAACACAATCTCTAGTCTCAAAATCTGAAGTGTTCCAAAAATCCGAGACTTTTTGCATGCCAGCATAAATCAAAAGGTTTTGGATTTTGGAGCATTTCAGATTTTGGATTTCCAGATTAGGGATGCTCAACTCTTAAAGGCCATGCAAATATTCCAAATTCCCCCCCCCAAAAAAAAAACCCAACCCCAAACTCTCAAAAACAATTCTGAAATTTGAAACCCTACTGGCCCCAAGCATTTTGGATAAAGGGTACTCAATCTGTAATTATCACTGTCTTCAAACACTTTGTATCTGGATGTAAAATGGGATGCTTTCTTTTCTCATTTCAAATGAAACTTTGGAACTCAGAACAATCTGTATTATATTCTAAACAACCCTAAAGTGGTGACCAAAGTGATCTAGTGATCGCCTATCCTTAGTAGCTTATAAGAGAGAAGGTGAGGTCTCACTAGAAGAGAACAGTACATCCATGCACCTGTTCCCCTTCTTCTTAACAAAGGCTTATTAATAGAGATATGCACATATTGCAGCTGGTGGATGACTGTCTAGAATTACACCTTACTTCATGTCCACTTGTTCAGTTGCACTCCTAACAGTCTCAGTCACAAAAGGAAAACTGGCACCAGACTAACTGGGCCTAGTTTCTTTAATCACCCTCTGAGATTTTTTTGAGCCATACTTGGCTTATGATTATATTCCTTCCTAGTACTACTCATTCTTGGATAGGCACATATATAAAGTATATATAGTTTTTTTTTTCTGTTTGGTTATGTCTTTAAAAATTAAAAAAACTTAGAAATTATACACCATCGGTGGAATGTGATAATACAGTTGTGAAATGCATTTTTTTCATACCCATACATTGAAATAGTCCTCACCTTCTGCATCTTTGAGTTCATTATTTTATTTTTTAGCCACATAAAATATCAAAGGAATTTCATTCATATTTGTTTTCTGTAAAAAAAAAAGTCCCAAACTGGATTATTTTCTGATATTAGTCATTTACTTTTAAAAATAGTGATTCTGTCTTTATCAGGTGACATCTTCTGTGCTATTTTTCTCTGGCCCACATACACTATAAGTTATTTCTCTTTGTAATCTGGGACTCTGCTGTAGGATGCAGTCAAATCACTATTTCCTTCTAAATATTCTTATAGTTGTTGATGAACCTTTTTTAAAAATTTATTTACATGTGGTGCTGAGAATCGAACCTAGTGCCTCACACATGCTAAGCAAGTGCTGTACCACTGAGCTACAACCCAAGCCCCTAAATCAGTACTTCTGTGGTTCATTTTGTGTGTGTGTGTGTGTGTGTGTGTGTGTGTATGTGTATGTGTGTATGTATGTATGTATGTATGTGTGAATATGGAGCTAAAAAAAAAACTCATGCATGATTTAAGTCCTTGTAGTTATGATCTATTTACAGTTCCTGTCAGGGATGTCTTCAGATCCAGCAGATGAAATATGCTATTCACTTACTCCTAGTCTTTATCATTTTCTCACCAAAATACCCTTCTACAGTATTCTTTAAGTGGAAAACACTAAATGTGAACTCAGTATCATGACATGGAATATGGTGATAACAAGTATGAATCTAAAATGTTTGGGGAGTTATTAAAACTGTACCTTGAGTTAGTGGTGTGCCTTGTGGCTTGGTATATTTTTGATCAAAACTGTCCAAATGGTGTTAACCTTGAATTTTTGCTGTGATGTTTTGTGTTGCTAAGTTTTAACTACAAAGGGGCAGCATCATTACTTTCAGTGTCTTCCATCTTTAATATGGGTGCATTAGGTAGAGAGGGAAAGGTTTTATAACTTTAAATAACAATATTCATCATCTGATAATGATTCTAGATATGATAGTGATGATTACTAGGAGAGGTTTTAAGAGCATTTCCTATAATGGATGAACCTGTCTGCAAGCATAAACCTCCTCATTTGTTAGAGTAGTATTTATTGTAAGGACCATATGGTTTAGTCTTTCCATTAACTCTGCTAATAAATCAAGTTAGTAAAGTCAAGTAACAGTAGGTTCCTTGAAGCAGGTTTTGACTTGGGAGAAAGATACATTTTTAAATGACTTATTTTGATTTACTGATGAAGACATTTAAGTTAAATCATGTTACAGGTAGCCTTCTCCAAGCTTTAGAAATCATCCTGTATTATGATGAGGGTTGAAGGGCCATGGAATTGCTTTTTTTCATGTAAAACTTCATCAGAAAATAACTGCCTAACCAAGGAATTAAATAAAAATAAAAAGCACCTCGGAGTTTCATCTGGATTGGAGAGGGAAGCCCAGAGAACTCTATCACCAGTGCCACCAGCAGCTTCAGGAGGAGGCACCATTGTCACAGCTGGCCTCAGTCATCATCAAGTCCTAAATCATGAACATCAAGGCTGAGATACTCAGTGTGGCACCATGCGCAGAGGGAATGGCAGCCCATAGGAGACAGGAAGGTCATTGCAGTGAAAGTTTAGGAACAGTAAAATGCTTCAATATAAGAAACAGGTATGTTTCCACACACAGGAATGGCAACAAACTTAGTATTTCTACAATAGATTGCCACAAAGAAGAAGAACCCCCAAGTAGCACCTCCATAAAATAGAGGATAGAGAATCTGTGGAGTTTGATGATGTGGAAGGATAAAAGGGAGCATAGGCAGCAAAGATTGCAGGCCCTGGTGGAGTTCCAGTGCTAGGCAGTAAATATGCAGCACACTGTAATCACTGCAGATATCATTATCCTAAATACATGTATGAAGTCATGAATTGGTGTGAACATACTTTATATAAAGAGACATGAAAAATTGTTCTATATGTGTAATAAGAATTGTGATGCATTCTGCTGTCATGTATTTAAAAAAATAAAACCAATAGAAAAATAAATTGTTTATCTGCTCAGGTTGAGATTATTAAGAACCTCATTTTAAGTCTGGAATAAAACCTTCAAGACTGATTTGTTTTTTTTCACAAAAAGCAACAAATTACAAGCATCTGTTAATAAAGGTCTTTAATAATAATAATGCAATACAGAAACATTTTGGTTTAAAGGACTGCTGTATTTCTCTAGATTTTATATATGATTTGCTGTTCAACAATGTCTCGTAAGTTTATATTTGTCTTGCTGATAATAGATATGATAGAACATTATACATAGTGTATTTGCTTTCAGTTTCTGTAACAAAGTGCCTGCAATAATTAAGAAAAGGAAAGGTTTATTTTATCTCAGTTTTGGAAGTTACAGTCCATGACCTGCCCTGTTGCTTGGGTCTGTGGCAGCACCTCTTGGTGGGAATGTGTGGTGGAGCAACCCATTCACCTTGTCACTGGGAATGAAAAAAGGAAGATGAAAGTTTTGGGGTCTCATTATTTGCCTCAAGGACACACCTTCAGTGGTGTAAGACCTCCCATCATGCCTCACCTCTTGAAGGTTTCCACCAAGCTGAGGACTAATCCTTTAACAAATAGGCCTTTGGGAGACATTCAAGATTGAAACTATTACCCATAGAACATAGTAAGAAGTTCTTTCTTTTTCTGATATAACTTTCTCCATTAATGGCAAATGATATGAGAGATCATTTTTACCATTATGTATTTTAATATTGTTAGCCAAAGAACTGAATTTAGAAGTCTGAAATTTCCCTCCTAAGAGAAAATTATAGCAAAGTGTCTAAGAGTCATTTATGGTTTTTGGGGTCCCCCTCCCCTGACATTTTAATCATTTTTGCTTGGGTCTGTTTGACTCATGTGTAGGACCAGGGGAGCAGCACTCCTTCCTTAGTCATAGAATTGAATGCTTATACATGATTTTGCTGTTTCTATTTTTCCTAGTGAGAAAGCCCTTGAGGGAATGAGGCTTAAATACTTGCAGCTGATTATCTTAGCTGTGTCATAGCCACAGCCCCCAATAAGCCAGCTCTCCAGCCCCTGAATCATGACTGCTCAAATTTATACTGCAGCATTTAGCTTCCCAAGGGGTGTAATTACTTTCTCCATGATTTCTAGTGTTTGAAATGACCTAATCAAAAGCCTTCACCCCTGCTTTCCTCTGGTGTGTGGCAAAGCAAGCTGCATTTATAGCAACTGGAAATTCCAGCAGCCTGGTTCCTGCTGGCAGATGGCAGCAGGACTGGCTTGAGGGATGCTTCTGGGAAAAATCAAGGGCTCAGCAGTTCTGTCTTGTGCTGTCTTGGGCAGAAAAAAACTTGACTACTTATCATCCCATACTCCTCCACCATAAGCCTTAGAAATGAGACATGACCCAGTATGCACACTGCTCAGCGTGCCATAATAACCACCAAAGGTACCATTCTACCTTGTCCTTCTGGTGGCTGAGGGACTTGAATTAGACCAGAACAGATGATGCTTAACCACTTCTGAAGGACCATGCATTTAGTCACTCCTAAAATTTACACCTTAGACCTGGTTTCTAAGATTTTCTTTGTGTTTTTTACTTGTTGAAAATTGGTGGTAGCATTATGGCCATGCTCTTCATATGCTTCCTCAGGCCTGATGGATTTTTTTTCTCATTCTATTTCAGGACTCATCGTCGGGGTGATCTTGAGATATGGCACCCCTGCCACCAGTGGCCGTGACAAGTCACTCAGCTGTACTCAGGAAGACAGGGCCTTCAGCACCTTATTAGTGAATGTCAGTGGGAAGTTCTTTGAATACACTCTGAAAGGAGAAATCAGCCCTGGCAAGATCAACAGTGTAGAACAGAATGACATGCTGCGGAAGGTGAGCTGGCATATGGTTATCTACAACATGGTTGTTGATTCCTTGGCTCCATCTTAACCTTGTGGAAATCCTTCCAAACTCCTGGAATATCAACATTCCTGGTTCTCAGTTTTGCCAGGAGGCTTTTGGGCCATTACGAGAAGATAAGAACCTTATTTTACTCATACCTTTCAGATTTGTGGATGACCTCCTGGGCTTGTTAGGATCTGTTGTAGATGTGGGCCCCTGATTATGCAGTGAGTTTGTATATTCACATTTATTTTCTCCAACTGCCATTTCTTCCTTACTATTTTTTCTTATCCTTGTGGTTTAGAGATGAGATTGTTTCTTTCTTAAAATAACATTGATTTCACTTTAAACTTATTTATTCAGAATTCAGAAATGTGATTCTTAGTTTTTTGTGGTTCTTTCCCCATAGTCTACAAATATTTGAGGGCTTACTCTCATTGAAGACTGATGCCAAAGGCCCAAAGAATCTTTAAGGGAAGAAGAGCTTGTTGTCTTAGAATTTGAGTCCAAGCATTTTTTCCTTTGATATCAGAGTAATAAAAATATTTCACAGGAAAAAATATTGTGTCTTTTCATGTGGGTGATTTCAAAGATAAATGTGATCTATACTTATTGACACATATTCCATTACCTTAGAGACCAGGGCTTATCATTAGGCGGACTTCTGTATAGCAGGTCAGGGGAATCCAGGTGTGGAAAGCCCCTTTTAATGTAGAAAAAGCTAATGTGTATAATGACCTGCATTATACACAGGTGTGCTCCAAAAATTAAATTACTGTTCTTCAAATATACTGTTCCTTAGAGCAAATTATTCTCTATCTGGAATATTAATTATGACCATCTTCTCTGTCCCTAATGGCAGTACTGTTGTGCTCTTTGCTCTCATTTCATAATAAAGCATGGAATTTCCATTAACATTGTGAAACTAGATGCAACTGAATGGCATTCCAGTGTATATACCATGCTAATCACTGTTTAGAAATGACAGCATGAATCCTTCATATTGAATTGCATAGAATAGGGGAAAACAGGGAAATGATACCCACTTATTTTCACCTTTTAGGTTGTGATAGAAGATGAAGCTGACTTCTGCTCTTTTTATCTTAAAAACATTTATTCAAATCTCTTCTTTTTGAAATTCTGCTACCAGAGCAAAGGAGGTAACTAGCAATAATCATCTCTACAACAAGGTAGAGATGATTATTTCTAGTTGAGGGCAGAACAGGCATATTAAGGCAATGAGGTTGGTGTGAAGAACATTGAACTGTGATAAGAAAACCCTTGTGCTTGTGGGTACATTATTTGTTTTTTTGATATCCATCAAGTCTGACTATTTATGGGCCCAGGTTCCTCATTGGGTAGGTACTGCCCAAGATTCACCCTCACTCTGACATTCCCTCTTTTGTAAATTATTCTTATCTTTAGCAAGAAGATAGAATAAATATAACTTGCAAGAATCACTCTTGTTTTAATTAGGCTGATTAACATCTCCAGTTTCTAAAGAGAAAAGCTAATTTTTAATAATTAGAATGAAGGTTTAAAATAATTCATTATAATAAAAGCTGATTAATCCACCCACATGAACAAATTCTTTAAAAAGGTTAGTGTGTTTATAAGATATTTAATTCTTTTTGGTATGTGATTAAGACATTGCTGTGTAGAAGTTTCAGAGTGATTTCCTTAAATAAGCCTTACAGGTAGTTTCATCCCATTGGAGTTACTGAATTTATGTTGATGTTCAGGAAGCTACTAAACTCACTAATGACTTTGATCTAGGCCACATCAAAATTACAGAAGGCTGGTCACTCAGAAGAGACTTAAATTCAGTAGAATTATATCTATAAAGGATTCCATGAGAGGATCCAGAGAGTTAATAATCATGACAATATTTTTAATGCAGTTAAGACATAATAAAGATGATAAAAATCAAGATGTTTTCATTTATTGTGGAAAAACATTGGCCCACAGCTCTCTGTGAGTTCTTAACATTGAATTGAACCGTTATGTCTTAACATGTGTTAAAACAACACACGGAGAGGGCCTGGGGATGTGGCTCAAGCGGTGGCGCGCTCGCCTTGCATGCGTGCGGCCCAGGTTCGATCCTCAGCACCACATACCAACAAAGATGTTGTGTCCGCCGAAAACTAAAAAATAAAAAAAATATATTAAAAACCACACGAAGATCATACGTCAGAAGTGCTGTGGGGAGAATATGCCAGTCCACAAGGAAGATATGATTTTTCTTCTGGCATTAGTCCAAGATTTGTCACACTGATGTTATTTACACCAAATGTTCAAATTCAGTCGTGACTTCAATATTGAGCAAATAATATAGCACTAGTTGGCATTAAACTAAAGGTTGACTTTTTTTTTTCTTTTTAAACTTTCAGGTAACATTTGATCCAGAGGTATTTTTCAACATTCTGCTGCCTCCAATTATTTTTCATGCTGGGTACAGTTTAAAGAAGGTAAGAAGGTTTGCTACTAATGTTTTAAGGCATATGAATCTCTGTGTTAATTTACCTGCATAGTTTTCCAGTTTTTCCCTTCTCTCAGATTCCTTATTACTGTCTTCTGCACCCACTCAGAGACTGTAGGTGACTCATGATCAGTGATTCATTTCTGTTTCAAAATCTAGAACTTTTCTATACTTCCAGTATGAAAGTAACTTGGTGCAGCTATTCTGGAAAACAAAGTAGGAGTTACCTATAAAACTAAAGTTGAATTTGCCATAAGACCCAGCAATTCCATTGTTTAGGGTTTATCTCAGAGAAAGGAAAACTTATATTTACACAAAACCTGTACCTGACTGTTCATTCTACCTTACTTATAATAGACAAAAAAACTGGAAATAACCAAAATGTTCTAAGTAGGGGAATAGCTGAACAAATTGTGGTGCATCTATACCATGGAACCGTACTCAGCAATAAGATCAAACAAACAATTAATACTGATACCCAGTGTATCAGTATCAGTATCACTGGGTGTCAGTGTTGATACTGTGATATTGGTACTGTGTATCAGTATCAATAGTTTTTTTTTTATCATTTTGGATGGACCAAGAAGTCATTATTAAGATCAGCCTGAAAATATTACATACTCTATGATTTTATTTATATATCATTCTAGAAATGACAAAATTATAGGATTGGAGAACAAATTAGTGGTTGCCACATATTAGGGATGGTGGGAGGGTCAGGGTTGGGTGAGTATAAAAGGATACCATAAGGGACAGCTTTGTGATGATGGAAAAATTCTGTATCTTTTAAAAAATATTTTTAGATGTTGATGGACCTTTATTTTATTCATTTTATTTATATATGGTGCTGAGAATCAAACCCAGTGCCTCATACATGCTAGGCAAGCTCTCTACCATTGAGCCACAACTCCAATCCCATAATTCTGTTTCTTAAACAATGTCTTGTTTTGTGGTGCCAGGGATCAATCCCAGGACCTCATGCATACTAGGGAATCACTCTACCACTGAGCTACGTCTTCAGCCAAGTATTGTATCTTGATTGTGCTAGTAGTTGTGCATATCTGCACATGTGATAAAATGACATTGAACTGTGCACATGCACTGTACCCATGTCGTTTTCTGTGTTTTCATATTTGCCTGTAATTATATAAGATATAACCAGTGGAGGAAACTGGGTGAAGAGTACAGGGGACATATCTGTACTGTCTTTGCAACTTCAGTGAATCTATAATTTTTCTAATTTTTTTCTGCACTACGGATGGAACCCAGAGGTTCTGTACCACTGACATACATCCTCAGCCCTGTTTATTTTTTACTTTGATATGGGGTCTCACCAAGTTACAGGCTGGTTTTAAACTTGAGATCCTTCTGCCTCAGCTACCTGCTTCAGAGTTGTTGGGATGGCAGGCATACACCACCACACTGGCTACCAAAATAAAAAATTTTAAAGAACATAGAATCATTATTATTGAGGGTTATTGTGTTTGATATCAATATTAGACCTAAGCCTCAAGTTATTTAAGATACTAAAAGTATGGGTGGCTCTTTCCCTCTTCCTTTGATGGAATATTGTGTGGAAAATGAACCCCCAAAAGGCCTCCCTGAGATAACTTAAGCCATGGTAGTTATTTCAGCTCTTGTTTCAGTGAGTCTAGAAAAAGGAAATATTGGCTGACAATAAAACTGAACGACATCTTTAGGAGCTAGACAATGCTAGGATCTATTGGGGGGAAAAGAAGAAAGAAACGAATTACCTATATTAGCAATGAAAGAGAAGATGTTACTAGAAACTCCTCAGAAATTGAAAAGGATAAAGAGGAAGTACTAAAAACAATTTTGATGCAAGTAAATTTGACAAGCCAGGTGAAATAGACAAATTCCTTGAAAGACAAATTATGAAAACTGACCCAAGAAGAGATAGAAAACTTGAACAACCCTATGCTAATTTAAAAAAATAAGTTTATAATTGAAAACCATAAGCCAAGATGGATTCATTGGCAAACTATAGCAAGCATTTAAGGACAAAATAATGCCAATTCTACATAAACTCAGAAAATAGAGGAGGGACCACTTCCTAAATCATTTTATGAGAGAATGCCTGCCTATCAGTCTGGTTCTTCTGGCAAAGCCATTTTGCAGTTTTTAAACTATTTCCAATTGATACAAATATAATTATAGTTTTTGGAGTGTCTGCTATGGACAGGAACTTTGCACATATTTATTTGTGTTTTTCATACATTCTGTGTAATCCTCACTGAAACTGGAAGAAAATGATGGTGGTTATATGTTAGCTCACATTGCTTTCTCCCCAGGCTTCTAATGGATTGAAAACAGATATAAAGGCCAGGCACGGTGGTGTATGCCTGTAATCCCAAGTACTCAGGAGGCTGAGAGAGGGGGATCAAAAGTTCAAGGGCCAGCCTGGGCAATTTAGTGAGACCTTGTCTGAAAATTTTAAAAGGGGCTGGGTTGTAGCTCAGTGGTAAAGTGCCCCTGTGTTCATGAAAAAAAAAAAAAGGAAGGAAGGAAGAAAGAGGGTGTGAGGGAAAGAAAAGAGACACAAGGAATTAACTCATGATTAAAAATAAATTTATTATCTAAAGTTTCTGATTAACCTGTGTTGTACATAGCTTAGTCGTTAATAACAGATCTCCGTACAGCCATTTCAAGAATTGAAGACAGATGCCATTTAGCCACCAGCTTGGTCATAGCCACAGGTAGAGAGGCTAAAATGCAGAGATTATAGAATTGCTGAGACTGCCAGAGGCTGCCTCTTTTGTTCACAGCATGGAGGCTTGAGGAGCAGGAATGATTCCCCACCTTGTAAAACAGGGTTAAGTCATTTTCTCCTTTCATAGGTCGGTTGACTCTGCCTTACTACATCACCTTCAGGGTGGAAAAAGGAGTCAGGAGAGGAATGGAACAGAAGTCCTCTTTCTACTATGGGTACTTGAGGAGCAGGAGGCTGTGGGTTTCTGCACATCAGTCCAAAACACATTTGTGCACTCACATGTAGCATCCATCATTTCACTGATGATGAAACTGAACTCAGAATGATTAATGGTGCAGATGAGGTTACTTAGATGGTATGGGACTGAGTCAGGGTTATGTCCTCTCTGTCTGACTCCAGGGCCCAAGGTCTTCCTTTGTGCTGCACTGCCTCTGGATTTAAATTTTCTAATAAAACAAACCGTATCATTTTTCTGACTTCATCTACGGGGTTGCCAAAATCATCTGAAACTGCATGTCACTTGTTGACACCTAATGAATAGGAGATGGTTATTATGAGTATAAATAATGTTATTCTTCACCTAAATGGAAATTCTTCTTCAGATCAAATGGGTGATGAATAATTTGGTATTTTAAATAACTAATCTTAATGTATAATCAAAATAATAGTCACTTTAAAATGATACCAAATCATGGGTTGTGAAAGCCACTCAGATGATTGAAAAACACTTTATTTTTGCAGAACCTTCTCTTCATCAGCCCTATTTTCTCAAAAGGAAAACAAATAACAGGCTGTGCCAGTTCCCAGTCAAAGTTGTTTTTGACATGCTAGTTTTTTGGATTATCAAATATTAGTCACTTTCCTTTTTAAATAGACCTTATAAAGGTACTTAAATAGTTGGTTTTTGCTGTGGTTGCCACCTCTGATTAAGCCTATTATCAAATAAATGTGTAGTAAATATTTTACCATTTAATTGATGCTTTGTAAAAGGATACATGGAGACCATTTAACCTATGCACATATAGTCCTCAGGCAGACAAGGCTTTTTTTCTGACTTGAAAAAGGTTACCATTGGAATTAGCTTTGATTTTTGTGCCACCCCTCACAGTTTGCTTACACGGCATTGGATGGTAAAGAATACATTTATGAAAGCCTTCATTTTTGGTGAACTGCCCCCACCAAACACTGCACACATATGCACATGCGCGTGCGCGCACGCGCGCGCGCACACACACACACACACACACACACACACACACACCGTCCCCCACTTCCTTTCTCCATCCCTCTCATGGGTGCAGGTACAAGTTATGTAAAACATATCAGTGGGAAATGGGAGAAGGTAAGGTTTCCGAAGGAGTATAAATATAAGGCTTAATGGGAATCAGGTGGATTTTTACCAACAAAAACCTTCTTGAAGGCTTTACCAATGCATGCCACCATCTCCTTTGTCACTTTTGGCCATTTGGTAAATAGTAGGGGAGACTCTGTACCATCTTATCTGTATTATAGCCCAATAGGAATAGGATGAAAGATGTAGCATTTCATTCCACACCCCCTGTACTTTCTCCCCTAGAGAGAAGTGGTCAGAATTGAGGAGTTCAGTAGCAGAGCAGCTTATGCAGTGAGAACACAACGAACTGGGGTCTGAGGACTGGCTCTCCAATTTGAAGCTGTGATTTGGTGGATATATGACTTTAGGAAACTCATGTCATGCCTATGAGCCTTATGTTTCTTTCATATAAGATGGTTCAAATAATAATTTCATACTGGGGCATTATGAGAATTGAATGTACTAATGTATGTGAAAGTACTTCGAGAACTGTGAAGTACACATTTAAATACTAGATCTATTACAGAAATAAGTGGCATATCTCTTCAAGGCACAGTAAAATTTTAGTTCATGTCAGCAGATATGAATGGGAGATGGATAATTTGTGTGTGTGTGTGTGTGTTTCTAGAATATATTATGAATGTATTTTTGGTGGTAGATTTGCATTTCTAATTTTGTGCTCTGGTTAATATCATGAATATGAATCTGTCTAATGCATATTCATACTAATCCTGGAGATGATTACCCAAAAGAAAGCTGAATTGCAAAGAAAGCACATCTGGGATTGAAATTTGTTCCTGGATACTTCTCATGGTCTCATGTCTTGTCCTTGATGCACTCCTAGCACTTCCTCATTTAAGCCCTTAATAGAGTTTTAAATGGAAGCAGGCTCATAGTTGTTGTTGTTTTAAAATCTGTTTTTAAAATGCTGGTGTATGAATGCATTAGCATAAAAACCATTAGGGACAATGATTTAAGAGGCAAACATAATGTGTTCATAATATGTCCAGGCAGCACCCTCATTTGGCAAGGCAAGTCCTTGAATAATTCTCTTCTGAGCAGATGGCTTAGGGACATTAGATGTTCTTTGACATCTTCTTTGCAGCCCCAGATAGGGCCAAGTATTGGGGAAGGCCAAAGCCTAAGTCTTGGACTCTATCTGTGACACTGGCCAGAGGACACTGACAGCTCTTTGGTCCTATTTCATGGTGGCTGCGTGTTGTAGGTTGGGTTATTCTTCTTGTGCCCTGCTTTTCCTTGACATTGCTCAACTGGCATGTTGGGGATATGATGCCTTTAAAAAAATTAACGTGTTCCTGGCCTTTGTTTGATTAAGGTGTATGGAGGATTTAGTTCTGATTGTCAAATGAGAATAGCTTTTGCCTTGAGAAGTAAGAAACAGGGCTGACAGTCTCAAGAACAGGCATAACTTTTCCCATTATTAGAATTTTCCATGGGCCTAATGACATAAATGTGTGTGTATTTTAAGGTAAGTATTATGGTAAGTAGTGAATGTGCAGAAGCATTAAAGATTGCAGTTTCACCACTTCTTTCTGAATAATTGTTAGATCTTATATTGTTATGGTTTTCTTCCTATATAAATTTACCCATCATAAATGCAGCTGTTTTCATTTCTCCACTTATGTCTCTATTGTCCCTCTTTCCAAAACCCCCCAAATCAAATCAAATGTATATAAGGATATGTTTCAGGTCTCATGATAGACATTTAGGACTGTGTTTTCTGATCCTAAATTAAATAGAAAACTCCTTAGATGGTACTTTCCTACTTACTGATTTCGTACATATATCTGTGATGATCTCAGGTACCACCAGAACTGGAAGTAACTAGCTGCATCATGAAGCAGAATGATTTAGGTTAAAACTATAAAAATTATTGGTCTATTTATGCACATACATGCATAAATACATGCATATACTCTTAACTAAATATAATAAGCTAGAATAGTTTTGTCTGAAGCTTTACTAAGTCTTTGCTTGCTTGCTCAGCAATTAGCAATGCAGATGATATTTTAAAACTATGATGTTTAAGGCAAAATAGCATTATTCAGGAGTGAATTTAGTTGTTTGAAATAATGGAAGGAGTAAGTAGAGTTTCACTTTTTAAAATTTTTTAAATATGTTTTTAGTTGTTGATGGACTTTATTTTATTCATTTATTTATATGCAGTACTGAGAATTGAACCCAGTGCCTCATACCTATGAGGCAAGCACTCTACCACTGAGCCATAACCCCAGCCCTGGAGTTTCATTTTTAAAGACTTCTAAATGTATTTCTTACGCTTGCTGTCAAACATAAAAATGTAATTCCTTTTTTTTTTTTTTTTGATTTAGAGACACTTTTTCAGAAATCTTGGCTCAATTTTGGCCTATGCCTTCTTGGGGACTGCTGTTTCTTGCTTCATTATTGGGTAAGTGAATCTCTGTCATATAACCAAAGTGATATGCCTCCTAAAGAGATGAGATCCATATGGGAACACAGAGCCCAGTAATTTAAAATAGTTTTTATTTTTTTATGAACTTGTAAACAAAAAATCCCTCCCATTCCAAAGTAAAAACAAAATTCCAGGTCACATGGAAGTTTACAATGATTACATTTATTTAGACAATGTACATACATGTTTGGTTGTAAGATGTTAACTAGATTTCTGTAACAAATATATTTTTTAATACCAAAAACATTATAGACTTAATGAAGAATCCTAAGGATAATCTAGTAGTCACTAAGTTTTTCTTAAGTCTGCATTTTAGATGCTATTATAGCACAGGTAACCAGGCAGTCTTTCATATGCTCAAATACTGGAATCTTTGGCTGATACCAGATCAGCTGAACTTGCAAATGAGAAGCCAACCATTTAAAGAAGGTTTTAAGTTAACAACTTACAAACCCCATGAATGGAAAAGCCCTAATTGAAAATTTATAGCTATCACAACTATGACTGATGATAGAGTCCAGTATTTTTTTTAAAGAGAGAGTGAGAGAGGAGAGAGAGAGAGAATTTTTTTTTAATATTTATTTTTTAGTTCTCGGCGGACACAACATCTTTGTTGGTATGTGGTGCTGAGGATCGAACCCGGGCCGCACGCATGCCAGACGAGTGCGCTACCGCTTGAGCCACATCCCCAGCCCAAGAGTCCAGTATTTTGATGTTTGTGACTGATGACAGGATTGAGAGCTACCCTATCAAGTATGGTAGTTGTTAGCCAGGTGTGACTATTTAAATTAAAACTAATTAAAATGAAATAAAATTGTGCCCAGTTCCCACATCTTGGTTTCTAATATCATTCTCTGATAAAAACAAAAAAAGGCTTAGTCTAGGGCTAGGACAGGAGACATACATGAAAATGGAGCATCTTGTAATGCCTGAAAATAAAGAAGTACTCAAAAGTCAAACAGATAAACACAAGGATGTAGAGCATCTCAAAGGGATACAAGTGCCAACTTGAAAGCTCTTATAATGGACAATCCCCTCTATGGCTGAAGAATAACACAATCAATGACATTGTATTAGATTATCACCAAAATATGAAATATCCCTGAGTCCACGCTGATATAAATAAATGATTGGATGAATAAATAAATGGTTGAGAAGAGGCAAATCTATGCTGAATTCCAAATAATTTGTGTAGATACATCCCTTTCAAGCTACAATCCTCAACCCAACTTCACTTTAAGTGTGGGTGAGGAAAAAAGGGTAACTTTAAAAGTGAATAAAATGTGGAAGATAATATTTGAGTCAGAAGATCAAGGTCAACATCAATGATGATAAGTGATATGTACACTTGATGTTTGTGATAAAGGCACTTTTTTATCCTGCTCTTCTACCCTAGAATGCATCACCTTAGTCCAACCATGAAAAAAATCAGGTAAATCTCAATTGAAATACACTCTATAAAATATCTGCCTAGTACTCCTCAGAACTGCCAAGGTCATCAGAAAACAAGCAATGTCTGAAAAACTGTGTCACATCCAAGAAGAGAAGAAAAAGATCTGATCATTAAATATCAAGTGGCAGCCTGGGTGGGGTCCTACAGCAGAAAAGGGACATTAGGTAAAAACTAAGAAAATCTGAATATAGCAAGGACTTTGATTTTTTAAAATTAGCTGGAAACCTGGAGATAAAGGTAGGGATCTTTTATTCTATCAAAAAAGGAGGGGCTTGGGTTTGTTCTTTAAGAGAGAACAAATTACTGAAGAGCCAACAGGTTACCTAATTGGCATTAATGACAGTGAGAGGCAAGATGGGGAAAAGGTATCTGAGAGAATTCTGCTGCCCAGGTCTAAGATTGTGGTGGGAAGAAATGCAGAGGAAGGTCTAGTTTAAGGAAATGTTTCAAAGGTACATAAAAGAAGCCTTTGATGAAAAACAAAGGGAAAATCAAATCTGCATCATAGAGTTGCTATGACCTGAAATTGAAGTGGGTAAGTATCTGGAACTATGCCTGGCACACCCTAGGAAGCTATTTCTTCTCATAAGGATCATATTCTGCAAATAGTTATTATGCTCTTTTCTTAGTCAGTCACTTTTCTAGGCATCCAGGACACAAAGATAGGCAATGGCATGGTCCTTATTTTCATAGATCTCATTATTAGAAAGTTGTCTGTAGCATACAATGAGTTAATTACATGGTTATTTTTATTCCTAATCCCTGCAGCTATTGTTGTCACTGGTACTACCCCTCCAAACACACATGTAACATATACTAGGCCTTTTAAGTACTCCTCACTGTTCCAAATTTGTAAGCTGTCATATAGGAAATATGCTTTAGCCAAGCTGAAAAATTGAACTTGGTGATCCCTGCTGGACCACATCACATTCTGAACAATATAAGGAGGGCTGCTGCTGGCCTGCTTAATCCAAGCAGAGCAAGAAGCCATACATGTTGATGGGAACACTGATGTAGTCTAGTAGGATATTTGGGAGATTTGCCCCTTTGAACAGAAGGCTGGGATAGTGATAGGCTGACCATTTGGATCTTTATGACCAATCCATTTTTTTTCTCTCTCCAACTATATCCAACCCATTCTTTTTTTTTTTTTTTTTTTTTTATTCTGGGGAGTGAACCCAGGGATGCTTTACTACTGAGCCACACCCACAGTCTTATTTATATTTTCATTTTGAGACAAGGTCTTGCTAAGTTGCTCAGAGCCTCGCTAAGTTGCTGAGACTGCCATCGACCTTGCTCCCTTCGTGCCTCAACCTCCCACGTTGTTGGTATTACAGGCATGCACCACTGCGTCCAGCTCAGCCCATTCATTTTCTATGACTTTAAATGCACTATGTTAGAATTCTGTGAGTTTTGTAGCAATTTATTATACATTATGCCAGGCCCTATCTTTATCTTTCCCCTCTTATTACCTAGTTGCTTAAGATGCCTTAATTTTGTTGCAAATTTTCGACCATGCTTCATAGTTGCTACAGTTGTTGTTAATCACAGCTTTATAAATTAAATAGTCATATGTTTCAGCAAGATGACATTAGTTGCAAACCATTACTGCCATAATTCTGTTTGCCCATGTTACTGGTAAATGTCTACCCATTGAAGGTACCTAATGCTTTTCTAAATCTCCCTTAAAATATTGTATTCTTATGGGGCTGGGGTTGTGGCTCAGTGGTACAGTGCTTGCCTAGCATGCATGAGGTGCTGGGTTCAATCCTCAGCACCACATAAAAATAAAATAAAGCTATTGTGTCCCTATACAACTAAAAAATAATATTAAAATTTAAAAAATATATTGTATTCTTAGTACCAATCCATTTACGTTTTGTAAGTTTTTTTGCCTTACATAGTTTACCTTGCCTTCTTACAGAAATCTCATGTATGGTGTGGTGAAGCTCATGAAGATTGTGGGACAGCTCTCTGATAAGTTTTACTACACAGATTGTCTGTTTTTTGGAGCAATTATCTCTGCCACTGACCCAGGTATTTGTATATTTGGATTTATCATTATGAAACTCCATTATTTAACCTTAATTTTGGAACAGTCATTAACTTTTGTTGCAGTAGAGACTGTAGTATTAACAGAATGGTGGAGGAAGGGAATAGTATGTAGGCCTAACAGACTGAGACTTTCTAGGAAGAGTATGCATTTACCTTTTTATTATTATTTTTGTAGTGAGGAAATATATACAATATAACATTTACCACCACAATTATTTCTTCTTTTTCTCTGTGGTGCTGGGGATAGAACCCAGGGCCTCATACATGCTAAGCAGAGCACTCTACCACTGAGCTACATTCCCAACCCCATCTTAATCATTTCTAAGTGTATATTTCAGTAGTATTAAGTGTATTCATATATTTGGGTAACCAGTCTTTAGAACTTTTTCATCATGTACAGTTGAAACTTTATATTCATTAAGCAACAAATCCCCTTGGAGCCCTTGTCAATCATCATTCTACTTCTTGTCCCTATGAACTTCTCTATTCTAGTTCTCTCATGTAAATAGAATCATACAGTATTTGTCTTTTTGTGACTTTCTTGTTTCATTTAGCATAATGTCCTCAAGGTTTATCCATATGGTAGCATATAACAGATTTCCTTCCTTTTTAAGGCTGAAAATTTTTCTGTTGTATGGACAGACCATATTTTGCTTATCCATTCATCCGTCAGTGTACACTTGGATTGTTTCCACCTGTTTTGAGAATGTCAAATTTGGACATAGTTTTTATTCTTAACTGTCTTCTACCTTCTTTTAGGTAGAAGGTTTAAGCAACACCTTTTGTTAGTGGAAACATACATTGGTACCTGTAGTGAATGTGATTTTTAAAAATTTTTAAATTTGTTCTTTTTAGTTTTACATGACAGTAGGATGTATTTTGACATTCATACATGGAGTGTAACTTCCAATTTTTTTGTGGTTGTACATGATGTGGTGTTATACTGGTGGTGTATTCATGTATGAAAATAGGAAAGTTATATCCATTTCATTCTTCTGTTTTTCCTATTCCCCCACCCTCAATCTTGTGAACCTCCACTCCTCTCCACCGCCCCATTATTGTGATTTAAATTATCAACTCCTTTTGTGCAATGCTCCTACATGGCCCCACACTGTGACGTGATTTCCTATTCATAAATTTCTTATCTTGTATTTTTTAGTTGAACCAGTTCTTAAAACTGGAATTATTATATGTCCCTCCTCCCCTGCAGCCCAAAAAACAATTTTTAAAAAATCTCTCTTCCAAATTGGAACCTATAATTAAATTTATTTGCATCAAGTAATTAAAAGCTATTCCTTTCTCTAAAGTCAACTATTGTGAGAATAGTCTGCCCTCCATATGTCTGTGTCCAGCATCTGTGGAGTCAACCAACTGCAGATTAAAAATATTTTTTTGCTACCTTTCCTATCCCCTACTAACCCCCCTCCCCTTCCCTCACATCTTCTCTCTCTACCCCATCTACTGTAATTCATTTCTCTCCTTGTTTATTTTCCCATTCTCCTCACAACCTCTTATATGTAATTTTGTATAGCAATGGAAAGGTAGCAGAATACAACA